TTAAACATATTAAACATGTTAAATATATTTGACATTATCGACATTTGTACTTCATTACACATTTGTAGATCTATGATTGTTAAGATCATCACCCGGTTACAATAATATAGCATAGAATTTTGATATATCATACATATTATATATTTAATATAATTAATATAATTAATATAGTTAATATAGTTAATATATTAATATTAGCAATCTAAACAATGTCCTAGTTTAATTCTGAAAATTTTTTAATCTTTAATATAAATATAATTTATTTATCTGAATACTTAGTAAAGTCATGTAATTTTAATTTTCAATTCATATAATATTACTTTTTAAAATTGATCTAGAGATTCAGAATTTATTAATGATTATTTTTTATTAATAAAAAAGTTTATATATAAATTTTATGCTATCTGATTGTTCAATATTTAAGGAAATAAGGCTGGTTGTAAAAAGTAAATTCTTTGACCTATCTGTATCAGTTTACAAAAATTCAGATTTTTTTATAATAAAATTTTTATCATATAACTTATATAATAAATCAGTATATTAGTAAAAGAAAGATTTATATTTATTTGTATAATATAAGATTTATTTATGTGATATAGAATATAATTATCATATTAATAATATATATAAAATTTTATATATAAAAAGAAAAAAAATTGGATAACTATATTAATTTTAAAATTTTATTATGAAAATCTAAAAATTTTCTTTATTTGGTCAAATTATTTCAAAATTATTTTAACTCCATTAAAATATCTATTATATATATAAAAATAAATTATAATTCTAAAGTTAATAAATATTAGAAAGGTATACCTATTAAAAAAGAAATAAAAATAAAAGATTTTTTTAGAAATATATTAATTCTATATTATTATTTGATTAGTAGAAAGCAGATTATTAAGTGAAGTTTAGCTTATCAAAAAATTAGTTAATAAAAAAATTTCAGCATAATGTATTACTTAAAAAACTGTATGACAATATGAATTTATGTATATTTTTACCTTATATCATAAAAAATAACAGAATCACATAGAATTCCTGTTAATATTAATACTTTTGATATTTTAAAGGTTAATTTGAATGATATATTTATTTTAAAATTTAATGATTCTCTATATAATACGCTAGAAAAGTTATAAATAGATTTATTTATTTAGATTAAAATAATGATAATAGTTGAAAAAGAAAAAATGTTGCATAAAATAATTTGTAACTGATTTGACAAGTACATTATAATATGTTATTAATCATTCTGTAGAAACTTTAAATCAAAAGTTAAAGATCCCTGTAATTTTTTCTGAATTTTTAAAAGATCATTTTCTAAGAATTATAAAAACTTAAGACTAAAATTTCATTTTGAAAATTTAACTCAGTATAATAAAAAAATACTTAATTATATTAAATTAAATTAAAATATTATAAAGTAAATTTAACTGGTTAAAATAATGTCAACTTTGAATAAGCATACTTCTCTAGAGTTAGAAGATAAAGAGGCGATTATACAATGCAAGAAACAAAAACTTGATAAAATTTCCGTAGATAATAATAGTATTTCAAATTTAGAAAATCCGATAGAAACTTTGGACAATACACAAGGAGGAGAACAGGGTTTTAATAACAAATACACTGTTACAGATAAAAATGATGATGAAATAAAAGAAAAAGTACTAGATATATTAAATCTCAATTATACGGATCCAGAATTTATTAGAAGATTTTGTTTTGCATTTAAAAAAAACCAGGAATTTACTGATGAAACTTCACATGCAGTGGTTTATAATTCCCCGTTTACTGCCGCAATTTTACCAAATATTTTTGATGATGAATTTCTTTCTCATGTCAAAGATGAAATTAGAAATTTAGATTTTAATCATAAATCTAATGATCTCTATGAATTTCATCAAAGTTCGGATTTAAGAATTTGTGATAAACCTTACCTTTCGAGATTACGTGATGCCATTTATTCCGATATTTTCGTTCGAACCATGTCTGATTTAGTAGGAATTGATTTAGATTATACCCCTGATCTATCTGCTCATAAGTATGAAAAAGGAAATTATCTTTTATGTCATGATGATGATATTAAAGATGATGATTGTATGCATGGGAGAAGGATAGCTTTTATTATTTATTTTGTTGATAAAGATTGGTCGAAAGAAGATGGTGGAGCCTTGGAATTATTTAATACGTAAATATCAAACAAACAATTCTGATATTGTATTTTTTTTTGATAATTTATTTTCATAATTATTATTATTATTATTTCCTCTACTATTAGAAATTCTCAAGGACATCCAGATGAAGTAACCCTTTCTATTATACCAAAATGGAATCAAATGGCTTTCTTTGTACTTAGTCCTACTTCTTTTCATCAAGTATCTGAAGTTTTATCTTCAACGAAAGTTCGTTATTCAATTTCTGGATGGTTTCATGGACCTTTAAACACTAGATTATCACGTACGGATTTCTTATCACCTACCCCAGAAGATTTTAATTTAAGTGATATTATAAGTCCTGTTTATTTGAATGAAAGCAATAAGCAAAGAATATTAGATAGTCTACATAAAAGTTCTTATGTTCTTTTGCCAGACTTTTTGCGGGATGATGTTTTTGAAAAATTAATGAAAAGTATAAAAGAAACTGGATGGGAGGAAAAACCAACAGGTCCGGCTTTTATTAGAAGATATCATCTTCTTAAAGATTCGGAAATCGTTGATTTTAAAGATTTTGAAAACATTGAGATCAAAGATTATAGAAAATCTCTAATAGATTTTTGTAAATATGTTTATGAATTCTTTAGGTCAAAACCTTTTGCTGTTTACCTTAATGAAATTTCAAATTGGCAAGTTGCAGGTATTGCATCAGAATTTCGACAATTTCAACCCGGTGATTATACTTTAATTCATGATCAAGCTCAAGATAGAGCTGGAGTAGATGTTACATTATTTTGTATTGAAGGAGAATGGGATAAAAATTGGGAAGGCGGTACTCATTATGTTGCTGAGGAGCAGGAATTGTTGGCTATTCATCCACAGAGAAATACGTTAAGCATTACAATAAGGACGGCTGGTACTTTAAGGTTTGTTAAGTATGTTAATTCTCATACGGCTTTCCCAAGGACTGAAATGTCCTTTATATTTTGGGATGAAGAAGAAGATAATGAAGGAGAAAACAAGTCTGAAGAAGTTGAAATTGTTGAAGAAATCGAAGCGGAACAAAACTTAATTTTTCATGAAGTTTATGAGGATGATGCTATTGAAGGTTCTAATTCTAAAATACTGTAAAATGTGAAAAATATGATGTTTGTTAGCCAATTATCAACTTTGTAATAAATGAACTTCATTTAATAAATCCACATTATTAATTGTATTTGCAAATTATTTAACTTATGACTCTTCAGATATATTAAGAAGCATACCTAATAAAATACACACTATCAATTACAGTTAACTTGTAATCTTTCTAGGTTCTAATGCAGCTTTATAACTACATTTATTAATGATAACTTATGATCATTTGGTACATAAATATTTCAAGTAAGTTACCTAATTAAGACAAGATCTTATATTACTTATATTACTCCATTCTCAAATTCACTTTTGAACATAATCCAAGAAATAAATAAGCTTATTACATGATAAATTGAAAATATTATTATAAAATAATTAAAATACATTATTATTTTGATTAAATTCCATCACCATAATTATTATTGCTTTATCTACTAAGATATAATATAGAACTTAAGTAAGTTTAGAAAGTTCTTGTAAAAATGCATGAGGATTCAAAAGTTGCGTAGAACCATAAATAATTTTTTTCTTGATAGCCTGTCGCTGTAGAGGACAAAGTTAATCGATAAAATCAAGAAACCATAAGATGTACGTTATAAGATGTAAATTACCTGTGCATATTCCTGTAAATTTTGATATTCAATGTAGTTCCCACCACCAACTACAAACACCATTCCTTCCTGGAAAGAATGTCTATTTCTATTTTGTTTATTTACGCTAGAGCTTCTTGCCATCTTTGGGTCGAAATATAAATAATCTTCCGTCTCATTTGCTCCAATTGCAGACGGTTCCATAATAGATTCTACAATTTTCGTAAGAGTTAAATCTTTACGAGTAGGTAAGAAATTTTTGACACCTGATAATAAATTGTCAAATCCTCCTTCTTTCAATCGATCCGAAAGCTAGAAATAAAAATACTAATCAAGTTGTATTCTGTTTCTTGACTTTTAAATAAATAAATGATCTTTATTGAACCTTATTTCCTATAGAACTAAATCCTTGGAAAAGTTGACTAGATTGTCCAAAACCAGAGCTTTGAGGAGTCATAGTTGTCATCATTGTCATCCTAGTGATTTCACGTACTCTTTGATTAACGCAAAGAAAAAATATTAATTTCGGTTATGAAATAAATATAAACAGAAAAAAAAAAAAAATAGACCAACTTTTTAACATAATTCAATGCATCTAAGTTACAACCGGCAGAACTCAATGCATCCTCATATTCAGCCATATCATCCTTAGGAACTTCTTCAACCGATAAATAATAAATTATAAAAAATCTTAGTTTGTCATCTGGAGACTTCTTCTCGGGATCTCTAATAGCTTCCAACACCGCTAATTTATTTTGTCTAGTTATAGACTCTTCCATTTGAAAGAACGTATCAAGTTGACGTTCTTTAATCCCTTTTAATAAAGATGTTGCGATATTCATATGCATATCCAATGTTTGTTTTCGTGCTGTAAGCTCTGGTAAAGCTGTGATGGCTGACTTTAAATGTTGAGTATTTTGAGAAAAATTAACTTGATCCATATCATCCAATGAGTTTACTCCACTAAGTTTAGTAATTTCAGCAGCATCATTCTTATAACGATTGAGTTCCACGTCAATATCTTCAGCCACTTGTGGAAATGGACTTGATGCATTCTTTGCCCAGAAGAAATCTTCGCTATTCAAATCGTAACTTCTATTTATATTTCGTCCCATTTCATCTGTTTCAATGGTAATTCTATTCAAATGCATGTCCAAGACATCATGAATCAATGCTTGATAGGTCCAAGAATGGCTCAACATTGGAACAAGATCAATATTTCTATCAAGAATTATCAGTACAGGCCTTTGAAAATTTAGGGATGTTGAGCTTTCCGAAAATAGATTGTTTCGTGAATTTAATGCATGATCTCGTAATCGACTATCAAGCTTTTGTGAAATCATTTCTGCAGCATTTCCTCT